ATTTCCCCATAAGGTTCAATGTAAATAAGGTTAATCCGTTCTGTAACTTAGAAAAAAAAATGACAAAAATTTGAAGTGGGTGTGCTGGGGGGGGAGGTGGGCGTGATCGCAGGCACGTTCGGGGACGGGGGAGACGATGCTGTACTCACAGCCGCAGTGAGAGAGAGAACCGGTGCTCTGTTGTGACATGACTCTTGGCAGGCAAAGCACACGTAATACTCATACTGCAAGACATTGCTCGTTTATCAAGTCAAAATTTAGAAAAACTTTTTGCTCGTCTTGCAAAACACTCACAGACCAAGCTACTCGCAAACCAAGCTTTTTTCCAAGCTGGGTGGAAACAATTATGGGAATGCTGGAGGTTGTTTCAAAACATCTTCGTTGCAGACCAGGGCATTTGTTTTCAGGGCTGAAAATTGCCATTAAAACCAATTCTACCGCTCTACAATTTACTCCAAAACCAGGTTCACACATCCCACTAAGCAATGTGGGAGGCTTAGTGTACAGTCTGAACCTCGCCTGCTTCCTGACGGATGGCTTAGAGTAGCCTTAGCTTATTGTTAGGTTTGAGAATAGCACGGGTTACAGAACGCTTCACCTTAAACGCCAAGCTGTTGTCAAGCTACAGGAAGGCTACAGAGCAGCAAAAGGGGCTGCAGCCAGTGGCAGCCAGTGACATGCTCAGGCAGCACGTTAGACCACTGCCACTTTCCCCTTATCCCCAGCATGCGCTGGAGGGAGAGCAGGACTGCTTGTGAGTAACCCTCCCTTCCCCAGGCCCTGCTGGCACACAAGGAAACAGGCAGCCTCTGCCTTGTGCAGCCCACTCAAACCCCACTGAACACCAGGGAAGGTGGAGACGATCACTTCTTCCTGGGTCCTCTTGGCTGCAGCAGTGGGTGGTGACTGGCTGCTGGGCCTTAAGATGAAGTAAGGCCGAGCAGCCATCTTCTGCCTGTGTCCTCAAAAGCTCAGGGCAAGAGTGGAGGGAATGGAGCAGGAGGCCTCATCTCCATTTCTGTTGCCCAGCTCTGCTGGGTGAGGGAGATGGAAGTATGTGGGCACATGCCCCCACCTGGCACCTCTTCTCCCCCTATCCAGCAAGTTAACTTGGGCCTAAAGCATCATCCAGACCCATCCAGGGGCAGTCAGGTGCGGGAGGAAATGGCTCTGAACCAAGAGGCTAAGTACAAGGTACAAAACATTTTGGAGCTATATTTTCTGTAGTAGAGCACAGCCACGCGAAAGAGCATATTTGCAGCATGCTGGTCACAGTGGTGGATTCCCTGTGGATGTCTAAAAATGTGTGTGAATGCTTGCAACAGTTGTTTCCTTGTGCATGCAGTATTTGGCACCTTCAGTGTGCTTCCCTGTAGGACTTGAAAAGGACATGAAAGCCATACGTCTCTTTTCATTTTTCTCCATGTTCCTTCTTTTAGCTGCATTCTTGTATACATTTACATTTTTGCAATCCATTTCAGAGCAACTGCTTTGGGAAAAAACTGTTTGGGGATACTTCTGCTGACTCTCCAGGTGTATTGCTGAAAGCCCTCCCTGTGGGAGAGAAAACAAAGGTTATCTTGCCTTTCTCAAAGGTATGTGGATTCATATGCATTTTGATAGACATAACAGATTAGAACAGAAGGAAAAAAAGGAATCCCTTCTTTGTTTCTTAACTATGTTAATTTTATAGTAGCTGCTGATGATAGTGTGAGTTTATGGTTCCTTTGAAAAAATAAAATTATTGTGTCCATTAAATTACTAATGTTTTAGATGAGTAAACTGGTGTGACAGCCTGCTATGATGAGACAGTGTATGATTGTCAGTAATAAATAAAATAAATATACACTATTTTTTCCCAGTTACAACATTTCTTTGTGCCTCATTTCCAAGATTTTCCCAAGTAGAACTCAATCTAGGTGCCATGTGAGACAATATACCAGTTGTGTTGGTTTGAGATAGTAATGTGGAAGAAATGGACCAGTCCTCTGTTCTTAGAGATCCATAGGTATCATATTTGCAGATGTTTGCAAATGAAAACTTAGATAGTGAATGGTTGCATGCTACAATACATATCACATTTATCTTGTAATTTCATAGAATTCATCTTGACAAATTTCATTTTCAGAATGCACAATTGGAGTTGCAGCTCATGGTTAATGACTGGTAAGAATTTATGTTCATTTTAACTTAACTTTGCTGTTTTATAAGTTTTGAGGTTCTATGATAATATTATACCCAAATTTTCTTTTTAAAAATGTTTCTATTGCGAACTATCCAGAGACCTTCTTGTGGTGTGAAAACATTGATAAAATTCAATAGAAAGATCATAGAAAGGTGTGAAAATCACATGGCTCCATCTAGCAAAGCATGTACCCATGTGTCTCACTTTTAAAAATTCACTGTTCTGTTGCAACAAAGACCACTTTTGTCATCTCCCTCAACAGCATTCAGACAATTCAGTTAAGAGACACTAGACGTGATGACAATGGACAGTGGACCCAAATGTGTTATTGCCTTCAGGTCTGTCATAAATCTTCAGGAAGAAGATAATAGAATTACTGGCCTCGCTCCCCATTGTGCTACATATGATGCTTCTGGACAGCATTTTTATATGCTAACTACACCCTGCCTCAGCACAATTTAACAATGATGTCATTGTCCATTTGTACCCCTCCCAGCTTTTCTCATCTTCTACCTTTTTTCTTGCTATAAGAAATCGGTTAAGAAAAGGCAGAATGGCTGCACAGTGTTTTCTAATCAGTCATGCTAGGAAACACATTTGTCTTGGTTCTGCTTGGAGTTTTCTGATGACCTACTGAGAATAGGCCTTGTTATTCTATCTACCAATGACCTCCATATCAGGTAGAATTTGTTGGATGAAGGTATTTTTTCCCTATCTCTTCCAGCTTAGGAAATGTGGATGTCCGTTTGGGATGTGATCTCTGTGGAGCTGAACAGAACTTCCTGTATAAGAGGAGGAATGTGGTTGCCAATGCTCTACAAAAGGTTCTTCTGCTGGACCAGGAGCTGCAAGGAGATGAGGTGTGTGGGCCTTTTTTGTGGGCCAGAGGAGGATAGTGGTGCTCTTTGACCTGGCTGCATTGTAGAACTACTTATGTCAGCGCTTACATGCATCCACACAAAAAATCTGAACTGAAGCCATTCATTTCAGCATGAATGAAAGGTTTCATTCTTGAGAGGAATCACCAGCAAAGCAGAATGAGACCCTGTTGAAAGGAAGTCATTAGACGAGAAAATATGATGGAGGGTGTGAAGGCACTGGTTGTTTGACTTAATTATCAGCAAAGCAGAGGTGATTAAAAACATTTCTTCTCCTAGTCAGAGAACATGATTTCCCTGAGGAAGAGAAAGGGGCAAACTAAGATGCATGCAGGGTGGATTTTATAAAATAAGACCTTTGTATTTGTTGAATTTAATCTTTATTCTCCCATGGGGAGAATTTCCAAAACAGCCTGAAACTATAACAGGCTGCTAACAATGAACTGGTTGCGCATCCTTTCTCATTATGACTTTCTTCATGTGCTCCCACAGGTCCCAGTGGTGGCTGTCATGACAACAGGCGGGGGAGCTAGGGCAATGTCAGCGTTTTATGGCCACCTCTTTGCCCTGCAGAAGATGAACCTCTTAGATTGTGTCACATACATAACGGGAGCCTCTGGCTCAACATGGTCAGTGAGTTAGCATTGTGATCAGTGAAAGAGCATCTATTATTCAGTCCTGTTCTTTGAAGTTCTATTACGTACATGTCCCAGTTCTCTGAGCAATGATATGGTCCTGGGACACACTGCCTACCTGGGTTTGGCATCCTTGGAAGAACGTAATAAGAGGAATAGATTATTTTGTAACTGATGCATTTTAGTCAAATGTACAGGCTTTATTTATTTATCTCCATACCACCCAACTGCTGAAGCTCTCTGGGCAGTTCACAGCAGCAAATCCTATGGCCTCCCAGGGGATGTTGGGAAATATGAGTATATGCTTGATGTAATGTGCACTTTAGCTCTATTTACAGTGTTTCCTTCTAAAGGCAATATTTTTCCACAGGACAATGACAAGTTTGTATGAAGACAGTAACTGGTCTCAAAAGGACTTGATGGGCCCAGTCCGTAGAGCACAGAGAGACATGGCCATGCACAAGTCAAGTGCTTTCTCCTGGGAGGCAATGCAGCACTACAATGCAGAGCTGAGACGGAGGACTGAAGAGGGACACTTGGTTTCTTTTACTGATATGTGGTCACTTATCATAGAACGCATGTTCCATAATGAGGTAGGTACCCCAAAGACCCATCTTTTGCTTGAGATGTTTGATATCTTTATCAATCCTTCCAGGCATATTGGCTTTCCCACACCTAATGATTAGGTATGTTTGATAATTCTTTTGAATCTCAGTTTCTATTTGTTGTTGTCTTCATTGTGTTTCATTGCAATGTTTCTTCTTAGCGGAATGAAAATAAACTCTCAAATCAGCAACAGGCAGTGAGACAGGGGCAAAATCCACTGCCCATCTATGTGGCCCTCAATGTCAAGGAGAACACCAAAAGCACTTATGAATTCAAAGGTAACCACCTCAGCAATATTACTCTGTCCTTCAGCAAAATTCTCACACCCTGGCTACAGTTCTGAAACTATCAGGTGGCTTCAGGTTTGTACTGATTGATTGCATTTCTTTTTTCATTTTTATTTATTATTATATTTATGTCTGAATTTGTTTCCTCTTTTAAGAGACCCAAGGCTGTTACATGTCCTCTCCATTTTATCCTAGCAACATCCTCATGAGGTAGGTTAGGCTAAGAGTCAATGACTCACCCAAAGTCATTCAAGGAGCTCCATGGTCAAGTGGAGACCAGAACCAGGGTCTTCCAAGTTCCACTCCAGTGCTCTATCCACTACAACACGCTCGCTTTACATGAAGGTGTTTTATAAAAAGGCAAAAAACAAACATCATACAATTCATGCTGTATTTATTGTATCTGTACAAACTGTTTTATTGGGTTTTTAAAGCTGTTGCAAACTGCCCAGAGAGCTTTGCCCATTGGGCAATACCGAAATGAAGTAGTAAAGCATTAAAAATAACCTTCAAATGATATCAAAGAGCCAAGTCAAGAATTTTGACCCCTGCCCCTTCCCTGATTGTAGAGAAAATGGGGAGCAGTCTTAATTCCTAAGCATTCCAGAATTTGGGAGCAACACAGGAGAAAGTGTTTGCAGCCAGGGTGTCTTTGAAAGGGCTTTTCCTGCTGATCTTAATAACTGGGCATGATCATACTGAGACAAGTAGCCCCTGGATATCCAGGCCCTAAGATGTTTCGAGCTTTAAAGGTTCAAACCAATTTGTTGAACTGAGCCTGAAAAATAATCGGCACGTTGTTTTTGTAACTAGCTTCAGACTTGCAGCCAAATGTGACTAAGAAGGAACTATTTGGCGCCCTACATCATATCCTAGCCCAGCCCAGCCCATCTTCCTCATTCTTCTAACCTGAGAGAGCAATTCTGTCTTTATCACCCTTTTCTCACTGTTTTTCCTGACTTTGGGAAATGGGCTGTGCTCCTCTTAGCGTCTTATTTCTCATTCTTTTTTCTCTTTTAATAGAATGGTGTGAATTTTCCCCCTATGAGGTAGGATTTTCTAAATATGGAGCCTTCATATGCTCAGAAGATTTTGGAAGTGAGTTCTTTATGGGACAGCTGATAAAGAAGAAACCAGAATCTAGGATCTGTTATTTGGAAGGTGATTAAGCTTTGCTAAGCTAAAAATGAGCTTTGAATAAGAAAAAATGTCCTACTGAATTTTGAAACACAGTTGCTTGTAAGAGAACAAGATGAGGTACCACATCTCAGGCAGTTAAGAAGCAACCAAACATTAATTCAGTCAATTCATTGAGAGTATAATTATGTCAGCTTTTCAGAAGCTGAGTTTATGGAAGGCCACATACTGTTTCATATAAATTCTACTTTCAGCTGATTGTAGAATTGCATGCTTTAACTGTGCCCTGGTGCAGAAGGAACTCAAAGTAGTGGTCCACTGAATTTCTGGACAGTCTGGTATTCTCCAGTTGTTTTGGACTTCATCTCCCATCAGCCCCAGTCAGCATTAAGAATGTTCAGGAATGTTTGAAGTTGTAGTCAAAAACAACTGTAGACAAAAGGGTGATCTAGCACATTGGCAGCTTGTTTTGTATTTATAACTAGACCCCACCCTGAAAGCACAAAGCAGACAACAGTACATTGCAATGTTCAAATGTACATTAAGATGCGTTTACCTTACTGGTATATATTCCCTCCAAGGTTCAGATCATGTATATGGTAGTGCCAGTAAAGGGATGGCAGTGGGGTGATGGGGGAGAGTGGGACCCAGATTTACCCACACATTCATGTTCATAGCTTGCACAAATGTAGGGTTCTCTGGGGTTTTTCCATGGGTCAAGCTGCCTCTAATATTGAGAGGTTTAACATGATCTGAGCAATATGCAAGGGTGTTCCATGCATATTTAAATAGCTGGACAGGTCTTTGGGAGTGGGATACTTCCAATCTCAACTTCTTCCATGTTTACAGGAATTTGGAGTAATATATTTGGTGGATGTCTGGTGGATGTCTGGAATTTATACAAATCTGTGCCGTCACCTTTCCCAGGCAAAGAAAAGGATGACAGTAAGAGTCTTGTGCATATGTTTTATCTCTAATGCCATTTTTTTCCTGAGAAGGAACGAAGAAGAAAATATATCACACTGCAGATGCTCTGCCCAAAAGATCATCATGGTGCATATGTTGTAGCTAATTTAGGAGGCACTCCGTAAGACTATTCAGTTAAAGCTGTGTCTGTGGAAATGGGTTTTGCACCTATCCAAACATTCTCTCTGGATCACCAAGAAGGCAAAGGCTAACTTAAATTATGCCGTTCCATTTATTTCAATGCTTTGGCTGCAACAGAATATGTGTTAGTGTGGGTGTGCATGTGCGTGCAAGCCACAACCATGCATCTTGGCAGGTATGCCATCCTTTGAGCACAGATAAACGGCTACTTGGATTTGGTGTAAGAGTAGTTTAGGACTTGCAAAAAGTATGCATATATCATGCTTTCCATTCAGACCATTTTTATAGTAGCATTAGCAGCCTTTAATAACTACTAAGTGATTCAGTGGTGGTTATATCAATCAGCTATCTGGCTGTCTGTAGCTTCCAGTGATTCCATGTTAGAAGTGCATCCTTTGCCCACAACCATTTTTATTGTCTGATTAATCTCCAGGCACATCAGCCCCTGCCTGCATGGTCAATGAGTAGGAATGCTGGTATTTATAATCCAGAACATCCAAAGAGTACCAGGTTGGGGAAGGCCACCTGAAGAAATTATCCACAAATAATACTCAAAATCATTTATAGTATTCATGCTATATAGAATCATTCATAGCATGAGTGGGGAACTACTTTGACTCCAGTGGGTAGATCGCCCTTGGGGAAGACCCCTGTGATGTGGGTACTGGTAATGGGTGGGGTCTCATCCCCAAAGTGTGGGAGCCATGCCCTTCTGCCAGTCCAATATGCAAAACACTCTGTGTACATCCTGCTTCAGTCTTGAGAAAGGAGGTCAGATAGCCATGCATAAAAGTTGACCAAATTTTGCAGTGAACCAGTGAGAAACAGCCAGGGCACATTGTGTCCTTAGCTTCAGTGCAGCAGGATCCAGAGTTTTCATAGTTTGTACTTTCTGATGTCCTTCTAGACAAAAGCAGCAGCCCTCCTACAAAGCAGTCCTCTGTATGTCACACTGCATGCTTCACTCCACCGAAGAAAATATCCAACATCATCAATGGAGTTCTGACCCATCGCCCAATTGGAGAATGGAAGCCTAACTTCTTGAGAGGTCTGCAATTCTACAAAGACTATTACCAACATGAAACATTCTTTATGTGGCGAGGTAAATAAATCAGACTTCGAATGTTAGAGGAATTCATACAAATCCTGTAAAAAAGGATTAAAAAGGGTTAACATTTAAAAGCTCACCAAGTTAATGGTCATGCAGTATTTTTTCAATAACCTCACAGGAACCTTTGTTTTGTATCTGGGATATTTTGGTGAAGGTGTCCAATAAGGTTAAAAATAATAGTAGTTTATGAAGAGGTCTAAAAATAATGTTTTATTTCTTCAATATTGCTTTGGTGTACATTTTATAACTATGTCCTTTATACACTAATAACAAGAAATATTTGCCTTGCAGGCAGTAATCTGGACCAGTACTCCAATCATCTTACATCACTGGAAAAGGAATTATGTCTGGTTGATGCTGGATACTTTATTAATACCAGTTGCCCTCCACTGCTAAGAAAAGAAAGGAAAGTGGATGTTATTATATCATTTGACTACAACTTATTGGAGAACAGGTTTGATGTAAGAATATTCCTATTTTATATTTGATAGGAGAACACCTTACTATTTTTTTAAAAAAATATATTACACAGGCAATCCTAGGTCGCATAATTAATTAAACAAATCCATAAAATCCATAAAACTAGTATGTAAAACCAATTAAGTGAACATCAGTTTGGACTGTGAATGTAATTCAGTATCTTGGTTGCAAAGTATCTGGGCATTTCAAACCCAGACTAGCAATCTGAGAGAAGTCAATTTTTTAGTAAGTTACCTTTTATTGCCTTCCTTGTGGGCGTACAAATCCTTTTCATAGAAATCATTGTTTTTGTGTACTGACCTGTGAAGGCTAGTTTAACTATTAAGCTAAGTAGGATGTAGAACACAGAGCAAGCTAAATTTGGGGGCTTTCCTGTGATTCTAAATTCAGTTCTGTAGGGATGCTGGTTGTGGCAAACCATGGCTCTTGTGGCGAGGAAAGGTAAGGTAGCCATAATGGGGACTCAGGAGGTGTGTGACTTTTGGGGGCACCCCAGGGGGCTGGGTTGGCACCCCTGGAGGCCTGCATTTTGCTCCAGCCTGAACATCTGCAACTGTGGGGTTGTGGGAGTGAAACCTTCCTTTGTGTATGCACTATTGCCTCTTTTACTGCTGTGAGTGTAATGGCTGGAGAGAATATTGCGTTATAAATCAAACGGTTGCTGTGTGTGTTTCACAAATCTTTTGATGTGGAGTAAACATCACACTTAATTGTGGAGTAAGAGCAATATTTGTAGTTACAAACTTGTAATGTCTGTTTCAAAATAAGGAAATCATTTGGCAAGGTCAATACACAATATCATTGCTTAATTACTCCACTGTGTTACAACATTGCTGAGTGTACCAGGATATCAAAACAATCTCTTTCTTCTAAAGCATGTTTACATTCAGTTGGGTTTGACAATAATAGAGAGGCCTGTTAGGAAAAAACTGATCATAGTTTTGCATTTAGATTCTAATATTTGTCCTCTTGCATGCTTCAGTCTATACAACAGATAGGCAAACACTGTTCAGATCAAGGAATCCCCTTTCCTAAAGTTTTGCTGACTGAAGAAGACAAGGAGAATCCAAAGGAATGTTACTTGATTGAGGACAAAAGGAACCCAGAAGCTCCGATAGTACTTCACTTCCCACTGGTGAATAACTCTTTTAGGGAGTATAAAAAACCCGGTTAGTATTTAATGTGACCTTTCAGCCACTGCCTATCAAATGTGTTAGTAGCGAGCATGGTGTTCCTTGGTCAAGAGATTTATTTTCGCACTGATCACTTTAAATAAGAGCTGCAAAGCCTCAGGCCTAGAACTGAGTGCAGGCCCCCAGGGGCCCCTGTCTAGCTCCCTGGGATGCCCCAAAAAGCCATGCATCCTTACCCCTGGCTCCAATCCCTTTGCCCCAAAAGTCCGATTAAAGTGATTGCCTGACTTTCATGAAGTTGGTCCCTATTCTAAAAGGTTGAAATGCCTCTCCTCATACTTCATGCCTGACAATAAAAGCATTCAGCTAAAATATGCTGGCAGTTTTAGCTTGTTGACCCCACCCCTTGGCCCCCACCCATGGAATGGGGCCCCAGAGAGCTTCTTCAAGGTGGAATTCAGCCTCAGGCCAAAAGAGACTCTTCACCTCTGCTTCTTTGTGAACTGCCACCAGCATGGCTTCCAATACCACTCAAGTGCTTGAAAGAATGATGTGCCTCTCAGTTGCCTCCCCCATTTTGAAAACGGGTCCTTGACACCATCAGGGAGGCAGGCTCCTATCTGAAAATTACAGCTTGGGAAAAACAGACTTTTAAAAATGGTTTTAAAAGAGCAGTCAGCAACCTCAGTCTAATCAGGATGAGGCTGATTCCCCTTCAGCTCCATGTGTCCCTTCCTAATCTGCTCAGGAGTTTAGGGGATATAGGAAGGGCATGTGGGGATGTAGTGGGGAAGAGAGAGAGAAGATGTGCCATTGCAAGATTAGAACTTTGTTCACACAAAGTTGGCTTCCACTCAGTGGTGTTGAGGGTGCAACCCTTTCTGAAGCAATTGTGTTTCACCTACAGTAGGTCTGGCAGCACCTTGTACCAGTTTCTGGCTCAAGGACTTTGCCAGGTTTTCCAAAGATGAGCTAAAAGTTCAGCTGCATGACTAGCAATGGGGATGAAGACTTGCATTTCTGGTTGCTGTGTTAGGGAACTCTTCAGTCATTACAGGTGGTACAAATTCTCTTTGCAGTCTCTTCTTCTTCTCTACCTACAGAAACGAGTAGGTAGAGAAATGCACATCACATCTGCCTTTATGTATCATATAAGAACCAGACTTATCAATTTTGGATTGTTTGTTTCAGCAGCCAAAAAAAAAAAAAGTTTTCTCACAACTGAGAGCAATGCAGGTAACATCACACACATACATGATGTTAGAGCCAGTGTGGTGTAGTGGTTAAGAGCATGGGACTGGGACTCAGACGATCTGGGTTCTAGTCCCCGCTCAGCCATGGAGCCAACTGGGTGACTTTGGGCCAGTCACAGACTCTCAGCCCAACCTACCTCACAGGGTTGTTGCTTTGGGGATAAGATGGAGGAGGAGAGATGATGTAAGCTGCCTTGAGCCCTTTGTAGGAAAAAGGCAGGATATAAATTGCAATATAAATAAATAAAATAAATGAATACGTCAGCTATTCGATCAGGGGTGGCCAAACCAAGGCTCAGGGGCCATGTGCAGCTCCTAGAGTTTATCTTTGCAGCTCACTGCCGCGGGTGCCCATGGTGGCCCACTTGGCACTTGCCACACCCCCACTCCCACCTGCAGGCACCTGCTTGCCACCCGTTGTTGCTGCCTGTGGGCACCCGCTTGTGGCCCTCAAACACCTGACATTTATTGTATGAGTCTCTTTGGTTAAGCAAGTCTGGCCAACCTTGTATTAGATTCACAATGTGTGAAACTCACCTTCCAGCACAATCTATACCTATGTATATCTACTTAAACATGAACTCCACTGAGTTCAACAGACTTACTGTTGCAAGTATATATAGCCTCAGTGACTTAGCCCCAGTAAACATGCCCGGGACTGCACAGGTTGTGCGACTGACAGTCTGTAGGCACATATATCATGAAAACTATTTTATCTCCTGTGCAATCACTCACATACTGCTATCAAATGTTAATCAAGATAGGAGAAGCAAATAATTTTTAATATGCATGCTTTAAGGTCTGTCAGTGGATTGTGTATCCAGTTGTAGAACATCTCTGTTCTATGACCATGAAATCCTTGCAGGTAGAATGTATTATACAACAAGATTGTCAAGTTACATTTGTCTGGCAAAGTACAGTTCTAGCCCACTGCTGACTATTTAGGACCCCGAGGGTATGGAATGGGCTTCCACAAGAGGTGGTTGAGGCCCCACCGGTGAGGGTGTTCAAGGATAGGCTGGACATGCACATGGCTGGAGCCAGGGTCAGACTAGATGGCCCAGGAGGACCCTTCTGACTTGCTCTATTTCTATGTTTATATTTCAAGACTATTTTATTCCAACAAATATAGAATTTGGACCTCCTTGTTCTAGAATCTATTAGTTCACATATTAACCTAATCCTTAAACCTAATCCTTAGCGTTAACCTAATCCTTAAAAAACGACTGCTATACATTTGTCTTCCTTTGTGAAAGGAGTTAAGCGCACCTCTGCAGAAATGGCTAAAGGACAGGTGGATCTTGCCAACTTGACATCACCATACAGAACAACAAATTTGACTTACACCAAGGATGACTTTGACACACTGCTAAACCTGAGTGACTATAATGTCCAAAATAACAGAGAACTGATTTTGCAAACTTTGCTGACAGCAATAGAGAGGAGAAAAGCCAGGAAGAAGTGAAGCCCTCTGCAGACAACCTAAATCCTCCTCAGTGGAATATGTGGATTATTTACTCCTATTCAGAAGGACCTAAAATAGAAACTGGCAGGAAACTTTAGAATACTTCCATGGAATATTTATTTTATATTATTGATGTTGTTCTCACACTACACATGGAGCTGCCTTAGAAGGTGGGAAGCTGCATTTAGTACAGAATGGAGCTGCTTAATTACTTAACTGGAACTGGATGCTATGGATTCCTGTGCTATGCACAGTTCCCAATATGTTTCCTGTACATATCTGTATACCATGCCCAAAATGAGGCAGAGCAGCCACTGCAATTTGCACCCTGTCTTTTATCTAGATGGCCATTTTTAGCAGTCTAGATAAAGTGCCAGGGAGAGGAAGGGAAGGAAGCTAAGATTGACATGTCTTTGGACTAAGCCTCCTCTTCTCCCTGTCTTCTCCCCTGAGGTGTGTTTGTGTCCCTGAAGAAGCAGGTGGCATGGCTCTTTCTGTGCTGGCCGCAAGGCAGGGGCTCAGCCTTCAGAGGGGATCTGAACAACCCCATGGCCCCCAGACAATACCTGGAGACCACCCAATTACACCCTAAGATCTTCCATTGATGGCCTCCAATGACTGCTCACAGCACTTGAGGGAGGGAGGTGGCAACCAGAGAGAGGAGTTCTCCGTAGTGGTGTCCTAGTTTGGAACACTTTCCCCACAGAAATTTGTGTAGTGCTTAGTGTTCTTCTGAAGCTAGGCAAAGACTGTTAAAATCTGCTGAGCTCTTTGGATATAATTTTAGTCCTGCTAATGGCATTATGTTGCTTTTATAAGTTTGTGACTACCGGTTTTGCTTTTAAATTTATTCTTCCATTCTTTTAGTAGCTTGTCCTGGAAGGCAATATGCACATATTTGTAGTAATAAATAAGAGATTAATAATAGGGATGTTTTACAAAATACAAGAAGAAAAGTTCCTGTCCCAGGAAGAATACAATCTGAACCATTATGCATAGATCAATGAATATTAACATTCTATTGAATGTTATGCCCCAGAGGTCATAGATCAGATACCTTTCCTGTGTGTGTCTGTGTGTGTGTGTGTGTGTCTGTGTGTTTAATATATAATTTTTTACCCATTCCAGGAATTCTACAGGAAAATAAAAATTTCTCAGCATTGCTAAAATAACTTTGCAATAAATTGTGTCAACAGCCTTATCTTCAGCCAAAGAAGCAATGGTGGCTGTATCTGGCCTGATAGCATGCCATATTGGTCTATCACCAGCTGAGATTACCTGCCCTGTCTAATTTTAATGAATCCCCCCTTCTCTGGGAGGACTTGTGTTGTAATAACTTCTTGTAATCTATTGTAGTTAATACTTCAATGTTGACATTAATTAAGAATAGGCCAATAATTAATATAGTTGGTGTGATCCCTATCAGGTATAGGTGTCACAGTAATAAGCATGTCATTACTAATACAAGAAATCTTTATCAATAAAAATCTGTCTGCAAACATATCCTGCCAGCATTTCCCTAAGGCAACTTGTGAGGGAGATGCACCACGCAGGCACATGCAAGGCCCAGCTTGTACAATTCTTCCCATTCTGAAATGGAATGGGAAATTAAGCTTCCCTGCAGATGTGCTTTGGGTGAGAGATGTGCCCTCCCTTAAGCGCAGGATAGGTGCACTCCTGTCCCTCCAAGAGCTGGGCCTGTACATGAACCAGCCCCTGCAATTCTAACACATCTGGTGGCAATCTGCTGGTTTCCAGTCTAAGGGCTTGTGTCCTCTTCTAAGACTTCAAACTGAGCTTTTGTTTCCTGAACACAAGATGGCAGTGTATCCTCAAGAACTATATGATAACCTTTTCTAATTGGTAACTCTATCAAGCTTAAATACATCTTTTGGAATAACAATTAGGCTTGTGGGGAGGAAAAGCCCAGCAGCACCTACAGTGTTTCTTGGGACAACACCTCTCTTGCCTGTCATTTAGCTTGGCCTGGATCATCTTCCTCCTGAAAGCAAATGGGCATTGAGGAGAGGGGTAGGACATTCAAAGGCACAGGCAAAAGGATTAAACCTGGGGTCTCCAGCTGACTTCCAAATGCTTGCAAGAATCTGAACCATAGTTAGTAAACATATACAAACTGGTGTTTCCAAATCTGCCAGGGAAATAGGTTTAAATTGTGCCTTTATCCATGTCCCCACTTCCTCACAGGGCTTCCATACAGGATATGCTTATTAAGGCAGTCCAGTTTTGGGTAGGACCTGTTTTGCAAAACCTTTCAAGGGCATGCATTGCCTTACTCCTCAGTACTGGCTCTTCATTCCTTAGTCCTGCTTTCCTTCCCCTTCCACCCCACCTCCATTTTTTTAAAAAAATCAGAGCAATCTAGTTAATGTCACCTTGAGCCTTCAGGAACTCACAGCAGCATTCTGGCTGGGTTCTGATAAGCCATTAAGGGCGTTGCTGCATGCAACAGCTGTGTATGTAACTCTGGGCACTGAACAGGAAAAAGATCATCAGAAGCAACTGAGGAGACTGGTGTTTCCTCCAGAACTCATCAAAGCATCTGTCAGATGTGAAGATGCATGAGTCAAGTAAAATTAGTAACTCAAATGTAATTTACTGGAATTTGTTTATGAGCTTCATGCTACTTCCCCTAAAGAAATAATCCTCTAGCGTGACTTGGTGTGGTTCAATAAATACGATTCATAAATACGACCGGAACGAAAAAAGCCCACAGGGCAGCCTGATCAGCAGGTTTTGCTAGCATGTCATGGTGCCAGCTTGCCTCTTCTTCTTGGCATGGATGGTCTTATTAGCAGGTGGGTGTGGCTGGCACACAGAAAGATGGAATGTGCTGCCTGGTTATGGTAGCCAAACAGAAATGTTTGGTGGCCGGGAGCCTGTCTTCTCCCCTGACCCTCCCCAGCAGTGGAGGATCTTGTCCATTATCCCATTCTCGCCTCCAAAGCTCAGTATGAGTTCCTGCTGTCTTCCCAAGCTCAAGGATTGCTCCCACGCTCCTAACACTCTTGGGATTAGGTTGGCTTGGGAAAAGACAAGCCCCAACTCAGAGCTGGGAGGAGGGCTTGGGATTGCCTCTGAAACCACAAAGCACTTCTGGGCCCCACACAAAACAGGGGCTGGAAACATCCACTGACCCTGCTCCAAGCTCAACAGCATGGCTTGTGCTGGTTGAATGGTATTTCTGAGGCGTGGGTAGAGCACAGAGTGGAAACGAGACCCTGCCTGCCTCCATTCTGAGGCCCGGAGGAATTCTGGGCTTCTCACGTTCGCCAGGGAACCTGTGCACTCACTACAGCAAGCGTGCTCAATAAGGTTTTGGACCCCTTTGTATGCAGTGCAGGAGACTGGGGAGGAAATAGGCTGGCATAGCATGGATGTACAATGTTTTTGGCCCCAAGGGCAACATCAGGTATCTGCAGGAGTAATAAGGGCTGCACAAAGGTGACAGATCTCTCACACCTCCACCCTCCAAACCTCTCATTTGCACAAAGACAACTCCCATCCAAGGAGGAGCAGTTCGGAGACCTGACACTTCGATCAGAAAAACCAACATGTATCCCTTCCTAATTCATCCAGGAATCCTGGCACCTAGTCCTTCTCCATTCTATAGCCAACTCACTTCCAGAAGGATCCTGTCATCCCACACTGTGTTACCTGTATCCTTTTCAGAAAAACTTGGGGCAGGGGGAAGGAATAAAACACTCTAGAAACAGCTCTGTGGTTCCTGTCATCAAAGCGTTGTTCCAGAGCATCCTAAAAAGAAGGCCAGAACCTACAAAGATTGCTATGATTCTGGGGATAGTCTAGTAATGAGGTACCAATGACAAGAACCATACAGACCCTTCCTGGAGCCTTAATAAATTAATTTGTGTCAACTGAATAGTTGAAGCTCTTGATTTTTCTTTCTGTTTCCTTTGTTTTGTGGGAATGTATTTGTTTACAGTTGGGGGGCCACATTCCTTTTTCTCCTTCTGAGTCTTTTAGCGACATTTTGAACCATGCAGCTGTAAGCATGTCTGCTTTTTATATATGTTGGTTTGTTTTAAAATCCTTGTAAATCTTAATAAAACCTTTTCTAAATTGCTTTTAGGATTTTGGCAATGCTTTGCCTGCAGTAGAACTAAAACTTCTGTGGAGAGATTCAGACCCTCTCAGTTTTATAAATATTCGGCTGTGCATTCACCTTGACATGTCCTCTACCTCTCTAGGGTCAGATAAGTTCATGGTTTATTTCTGAACATGCTGAGTTCCCACATGTTCATTTTTATTAACAAACTATTTTAGAAAGAACAAAACATTTTCCTGAAAATATTCCTAAAATTTTTCTAATTACAGGTGGGAACACTACAACTTTACATTTCTAATCACTGCATTTCTATATATCAAGTGCTATTTATGTGCATATAAGCCAGTATTTCTCTGTATATTACCCAATTGAAGAGCACCTTTGAAGATGAAATGTGTTCAGTATGGGTTCTATATATCTGTGTAAGAACTGTAGCACAGTATAGACACCATTCAGCCTACCTATTTATATTGCAAGCAGACTTGTACATAGATAAAACTGATTGCCTAAATGTATACAACTCTTGCAAGTTTGCTCATTCAGTTCTTTTATTTCATCTGGTTTTTGCAGCAGGGGTGGGATTCATTCTGTTGATTCACCAAACCTCTTTCACATCAGACTTAAAAGAACAGTGGAATCTGATGCTGATTCCAGATCCTGTTCATACATTGCATGGATTGATAGGTAGGTTGTATTACAGGAATGGCTAGGTTACAGAATTTATTTATAGGGTGATGCTGATCTTCCTATGGGGTGAACAGAGCTGCAGAGAAAATGAGAGGATTTAGAAACAAGGGCAGGCTGTAAAAAACCCAGCAGGCTATAAAAAATGGCACAGGGTCTCAGCTCCAAAATCTGTGAAAAGTTGCAGGAATACATGACACTAGTACAAGTTGGTTCTTTTTGAAACAGGGAAACACATGCAGAAAAAGTATCAGAGATCAATGACTGCTACTAGAGTCGTTCTACCCATTATATACAGGCCCCATTTCTAAACTTTGGTAGAAATGGAAGATATATATTATTAAAAGGAAGACTGACATGTATTCAGTAAATGCAGAACT